AATCAGAATCGAATCGTTACATTTGTGTCAATAGTATAGCCTACCCAGCACCACATTTTATCATCTGCCAGGTTAAAATCATACTTCTGGTCAGTTAGAAAACCAGTTGTACATCATTCTCTCCTCAAGAAGCTATGTGATTTGAGGTATCATTCATGTCCGTATAGCACAAATGGTGTGGGTTGAGTTACATACCAAAGTTTAATACTTAGGGTTAGCTAGGGGTTTATTTTCAATTCAATAACCCTATGAGTAATAGTGAAATAGAGAAATGCGCTCACTATTCCACCGTTCGTTCATAGGTGGGTCTGGAAATATAAAGTGGCAGTCAGGCTAATAGTGAAGGTCACATCTAAACATTTATGCGTTGGTCACTTGGGTTAATTAATCTTCTGCGAATGGATCAAGTTAATGTGAGGTTTTACAGCCATGTCTAGATCTATGTGATCCCCTCACCCACCCACCCCTACAATGGCCATAATAGCCTTAAATGGGCTTTCAAGGCAGAAAACGGTGAATAGAGGTTTTTGAGTGGATCTTTGACAAGCACAACTGGGGTTTGGACTTCAGGCAGATTGGTTGCTATGGAGACAGCGCCCCTGCAGCACACTAATGGCAGGCCGCGTTGCTCAGATAAGCACAGTGCTAATCATAGACTATTGTCCTGAAATGCGTTGTGCGTCTCCCATGCCCCTGTGTGACGGACCTCGCCTGCCAAATATCTGCTGGTCTCCTCGGGTACATTTAAATCCCTCCCTCCTTAAAATTCTCCCCTTCTGCAGTTGTTTTCTTTTCTCGACCCCACAGAAATGCAGAAAGGAAGTGGAGAATTGAAAAGCAGAGATGACTTGTGCAAAGCAAGGACGCTGAGAGCCCTTTTTGGCCTGAAAACAATACAGCTATTAAATTATTAAAAGAAGTCTAGCCTATCAAAAACAGTGTATATCTGAGGGGGTGTTTTTTTTAGCCAATGAAACATCTAGTCACAGTGTACCCTCCGGAAACACACATAGCATATTCTCTGTGAGATTCATTGTACACCTGTTGTTAGGATGGCTCAGGAAAGCACTATTATATAACATTACCGTCATCATATTGAATGCAGTTGTTCGAATCACAAAGAACAACCTTGTTTACGCAGTTGTGAAAGGCTAGACATGATTAAGCTTCCTCGTCTGTGAAATAGATGCTTTTTCACTGTTAGAATGCCAATATCGTTCAACGCTTTTCTTTAATGTTATTGAAGGCAAGTTCTCGTAGCTACGCTGACAAGGCAAGAGGGATGTTAAAAATGATTTCAAAGAGAAGGGAAGGATATTAAACTTGTACGTCCCCTTGAAATTCACATCATTTCATCTTCAACTCTCTGTAATCTCACAACACACTCAGACCGCCTGGAGCTTTGGCTTTTTTCAGTCATTTTGCAGGAACATGTAGCGGGCCCTGTGGAATACTGAGAGGTATTATTCAATCATTTAGGCCAGATGTGATGGGCAGCCCACTACAGCGGGAGCAAAACGTCCTCATCTATCTCATTACATCTCTCATCACTTTCATTACGTGTCGCGGGTCGCTACCGTTGGAACTCCATCCAACGAGAAAACGCTGCAAGGACGGTCACATTATGTAGATGACGGGGCTAAAAGGATAAACTGAAAAAGAATACCGTAGTTCACTTCTGGCCCCGCTGAAAAACAAGATCCTTTCAAACACTTAAAAATATAAGTGTAACTTTAACTTCATTTGCATGAAAAATTGAAAAGATGGTAACAATGCTATATGAACACTGTAAAAAAAAAAAAGAAAAAAAAAAAAGTTTTTACGCACATACTGTGGTTAACTGTGTATAGTAAGCAAATTGTGGGACAAGACATTCTTGTAGGAAACATGCACACAATACACATAACCTAGTACATTCACCAAAATATGTGTGATGTGCAGCAAATCAAATTCGAATTACGGGAAGACAAAAGAATTACGGGAATACTGGATTCTAAACAACAAAGAAATGCCACAATTTATAAAGACCTTGAAGCATGAGGGAGAAACACAAATACCTCTTAAGTGCTGCTCCCAGTAAAAAGGCTTTCCTTGCCATTAATGCTTGGATAGCCCGCCTAGCTCTTTCTATTAAAAATAATGGCTAATGCGGTGGCTGGGATATACTTAAACCAAGTAACAGCAGTTGCCATGATTTTTGGAATGACTAATCGCGAGAGGAAAAAATTACTCGCATAACATCAGTACATGAAAACGCTGTCGTTTCGCAAAAGTTTTGCGCAAATCAGTAATGGATACATGGCTACAGTCATGTGACTAGTTGCGTCGCTTCACTGCCATTCATAAATCCTCTGCCGTGGCCTCATGGGATAGTAAAGTGTCCATCAGATGCACACTTTGCGCATATTTTAAGAATTCTTTGAATTCGGACATATTACTCTGCTTTTCGCCTTATATAGTAGGGAAGTATGCAAGCCAGAGCTGAGTGGGTGGCGGCGTGGCATATATATAACTTGACCTTCCATTTCCATTCTGAAACACTAAATGTGAACCATTTCATTGGAACACCAGATGTTATGACCCCAAATGTAATGATAAAAAAATAAAGACAATAACATGATGCTACTCAATGGCTGGTGTCCAAAATCGCATACTCTCTTGAATAGGTACTTAATTTTAATAAGTACAGTACTTCACGGCCGCTAAAAAAGTTTGTTCTATATAGTATAAATGTGTGTAGTATGAATGTAATCCTAATGTACTACATTCGCCATGTTGTCACTCTCATGTGACCTACCAGCATCAGCTTCACTGCCGTTCACAAATCCTGTCCTGTGGCCTCATGGGATTGTAAAGTGTCCATCGTATGCTCATTTCAGAATCTCGCAGGAAAAAGTAGGTCATCCGGCTACTTTTTGCTTACTCTTTTGTGACAACTGACATACTTCTGTTGTCACATACTTTTTTTTTCGGGTACGTGATATAGTACTAGGGAGGTATGCGATTTCGGATGCTGCCATGGAATGATGCATGCTGTTTCACTTACTATTTAAAAACACAGTAGGGAGTATACTGTATTCAGTATGTAGAAAACTATCAGTCCATTATCATTCCAACACAGACAAAGGGTTACTTTAAATCTACATAAAAACACAAGTCAGACAAACAAAATTCCCTCAAATATTGTTCTAACAAGTCTATTTGTTGTCTGAGAGGTCTGAACAAACAAAACTGTTGCTGTGTTTGTGAGCACCCAGCATGCATTTCCACATGAATAATTTATTAAGACAGTTGTTGAGTGAAATGAAAAATTCCAGTGCATCATGTTGCCTTGACTTTTGACTTTTCTCAATCCCTTTTGTACAGTTCAGTGACATTGTTAAATTTCCAAGTCAAGTCACCTTTATTTATATAGGGCTTTAAACAATGCAGATTGTTTCAAAGCAGTGATGAACAGGAAAATAATGCATTTCAGCTGAAGTCAGTTCAGTGTTGATTCAGTTCCGTTTTTAAGATCATCAATTATTAAATTAGTTCATCATGCACAAAAGGATGTCATCGTCCAGTTCTCTCACAACAACGTCAGCACAGTCAGATCAATAATATTGTTGAATAATAAATGTCCCCAACTAAGCAAGTTAAAGGCGATAGTGGCAAGGAACCCAAACTCCATCAGGTGACAGAATGGAGAAAAAAGACCTTGGGAGAAACACGAACACGGTGTGATTATGATTCAGGCTGCATCACACCTAAAATAAGTGAAAAAATAAAGCACGTTTTTAAACTGCAAATATAAATGACTGCCAGACTGGCAAAATACAAAATATCTGCAGTGATATTTTTTTTTCCCACAACACCACAATGTCTAACAACTCATTGGAGCAATGCACAGAAAATAAGATCGCCCTCAAATGTCTGTGTTGCATTTTCCTTGCTTTCACAGTCTGCCTCAGCAAATGTCAGCAATTATGTGCAAATTGGTCACAACAGCTCACTTTCTGGCTTTCTTGTCAGGGAAATGAAGAGAGAGGAAAAAAAAAGCATGCAGAAGGCATAAATGACCCACTTAAAGCATTTTTCACATTCATGAAAAAATGTTTTATCTTGTGATGCATTGATTATAATGACTTTCAATATATAGCTACATATAAACAAATTAACATGTGCTTGTAATGCTTATTAAACGATTGCAGTAAAGAGGAGAGAGAACTGAATGATGAATTCTATGATGCTAATAACCATTAGGTAATCAAGACTGAAGTGTTGTTTTTGTTTTTTTGGTCAAATGAAGAGCAGCCTTAAAAGCCAATTTGCTCAGCCATTCTAAACTTAAATATTAGCATAGACTTATAGATGTAATTCAAAAATGTGCAATCTGTATTTTAATTACCTACCTACTTTAATTAGTAGTAGATTAAGAACCAGAAACTACAAGACTTAAAACACTATATGAAAATAATAGCAATATATGAACTATATCGTGTAGGACTGTTCACAATTTTACATTTATAAACCAGATTTAATAAAATAATGAAGTTGTATCTTGAATATTTGAGGCAATTTTAGTAGAGAAATTCTCTTCTTTTTTTAATTCTCATCCTTACAAACAAGTGACCTCTTGTGGACACGTGAAGAAATCACAAGAACAGCTACACTTCCTGGTGGGAAGTCAGACCACCGTATGTGACATGATTTTGGCAGTTTAATAACACTCAGAGTAAATTAAAGCTAGAAGTCTGTTGTGAAATAAAACTGCAGTACAAATAGTCTCATCAATAAAGGGGAAGCTACGGTCAAAATTACATTTTTATAAAACTGATATAAACTTCCAGTCAAAGGTTTAGACCTATATTTTTATTGTTAACTAAATCGAAGACTATTTAGACAGTTTTCATAGGTTAAGGACACAGGAAACAAATCCAGTAAAGTGTGTCCACACACTTGTGACCAGTGGTGCACAGAGAATTGAATGAACCTGAATTAAAATACAAGAGGCAAAGTCAGAGTAAGCATGTTTATTAGGTGGAACCGGACTAAATGCAAAATGTACACTCCAATAATTTACGGAAATTGTTTGCTAAAATATTGCGTCCCACACCAGGAGGACAGGTTACATCCCCTGTACTTCTTTGCAAAAAGACAAACATGAATCAACAAGGTCTCTGGAGTTCTGGGATGTGACACATTGGCTCAGTGAGGAAGCTCGTGAGGCACTAGCTTGTAATGAGAGCCGCATGAGGGACAGCGCTGGGCTTCACCCTCGTGGAGCCAGAACCACACCACAGCAGTGTTGTCCTCCTCACCTGGACACACACACACACACACACAAGTATGTGCTTAATATATCCACCAAACAAAACAAAAAAACTATGGTGTGTAAAGTGTCAAGAACAGAGATGGGCAGCTTCGGTCCTGGAGATCCACTATCCTGCAGTGTTTAGCGCCAACCCTAATCAAACACACCTGAACAAGCTAATCAATGTCTTTAGGATTACCTGGCTGAGTCTGAAATCACCCCCATGCCCTTAATTAAGGCACTATTTGAGGGGACAGCCATTTGTAGTTGTGTCCGAAACCATAGTGGACATTATCGAGTGAACTCATTCAATCCCATAATGCACTGCAATAGCGAGTGTACAATCGGTGTATGCTCAATAGCTAGATAATACCCATAATGCACTGAGGGCATGCACAAATGAAGTCCTGTCACACTGGAAGATGGCGCCCGCAGCTGAATCATCCATCTATTTTACAAACTGCTGGTCTAATGTGGCTACAGTGCAATATAATACAGCTATAAATTCCTGTTTTATTTAGGTTTATACATAATTTCCATGATGGAGTTCAAGATAAATCTTTTCATTAATACTGGAGCTGCCAATTTACTAAGTTTCAAATGAGTATTAAACCGCAAGCACAAACTATGCAAAAGCAGCAGCCCTTCCGGTGCACTCAGTGTCCGAATCATTCACTCGTTTTCATTTCCTTCCTCAAGTGAACTATATTAGTGAACTAATGTAGAGAATCGTGAATGAGGACATAGGGGGTGATTATGAAAGCTACAGGCTGGTGAGTTTGATCAGGATTGGAGCTAGGCTCTTGCTGGAGAGTGGCCCTCCAGGACTGAAGCTGCCCATCCCTGGTCTAGAATCTAGAGTTAGAACTTACAGACACAGCCAACAACTCTTTTGTTGGTGATTGAAGGTACAAGATGGGGGTCTGACTTTGACCCTGCATACTCCTTGGGCTTCAGCATGCTATAAGGATCCTGGGAGAGGAAAGACGACAAGAACTTGAATGCAGCCATTTTCCATACCAGGAAAATACATTCATTTTATTTAGTTTGATGATGATAATAATAATAATATAAAAGAAGAGGAGCTTGAGTTTGTTGCCCAGCTCTATTTGTTTTGTGAGCAAGAGGCGTCTACTCTCACATAGGCTTATGCTACTCCGAAGTCATGCGTCGGGTCAGATGTCACTCTTCCAGTGTCACTGAAAGCCAGTGATTAGTTTATAAAGTTATTAATATGGATATTTTTCTTACAAAAACGAATCACTTTGCTTCAGAAGGCCTTTATTAACACCCTGGAGTCGTATGGATTAATTTAATTTTATGATGGATGCACTTTTTTGGGCTTCAAAATCTAAAGGTACCATTTAGTCCCATTATATAGCTGGGAAAAGCCAGGATATTTCTAATGAAACCGTGTTCGGCTGAAAGAAGAATGCCATATACACCTAGGATGGCTTGAGGGTGAGAAAATTATGGCATAATTTTCGGTATCAATTTGGTCACAACGTCTTTCTTCAAGTTGATACATGAGAACCATAATGTAATTTCATAATGACATTAACCAGAACATGAGACCATCGAAATACAACATATTTTAAAGTCAAATGGACAACTTATGTCTTTCTTGGAGTATGACAGACATGACCCTGAAACTAGTTGTATAGAAATAACTGTTAAAATTCTTCAAAACTCACTTTTTGTGAGGAATTTTAACAGCATGTGTGTTTGGATCAAGGATAATGATGACAGAACTTCATTTTTGGATGAATTTATCCTTATATCTATGAAACCGATGTTCTATGCAAGCATAAACATTTAGTTTGACAGCTTTGACGGTTTGTAAGACCAGAATACATACTGAGCCTGTTTTTAGAGCATGCATAATCTTCTTCTCGAGTCCAGTTGCCTGGTCTTCGTCAGATGGAATACCTGGAAGAATAAAGGTCACATTTATGTTAAAAGCCTTTTAAAAACTCCCTTGCAGACCAGCAATTCACATTAGTCACGTTTGTGTTTGGAAACTGCTAAATGCCAACACAACACATGTATGTGATTTCTTTAATACTACACAGATGTCAATAACACGCATTCAAACACTAAAACAATACAATTTCTTAGAGAAATCATAACTAAACAACTGTTTTCCTGTTTAAACTGCCGGTGCGGTCAGAGCATCGACCTCCGCGGAAGGCATTGCGTCCTTGGCACGCGTTCAAACTGACTCTCAAATGATGCTACGGCGCGTTTCGGTTATTAAAAACAGCCTGAGATAAAAGACTGACCTCCCGCCGCCATCCCTCTGCTCAGAGCGGCCACTGGAGACGGCCTGCAGGTCGTCGCGGCCCGTACGGCGGTTCTCAGCAGTAACCTTGCAGCCATATTTCCTCTTCCCCAAAACTACCAGAATCGGGCTGATGACGTCGAAGAGGCGCTTATGTAACCGTCGAGTCGCGTGCGTTAGACGTCATCCCCATATGTATTCCATACCATGGTGTGTGAAGTGGTTTTCTTCAAGCATTTAAAAAAAAAATTTGGTGTCAAGTGGATAGCGATGAATATTGGACAGAAAAGCCTTAGATACAAAAATGGTACATTTTAATTTTAGCTTTGTCCAAATTACACATTTGCTACAGCTATTGTTACTGTAATAATCATAAAAATAATTAGAGATGTTCTTAAAACAAAATAATTCTTTAATGTTTTTCAGTAGTGTCAGTAGTAGTGGCTAATTATCAGTTTTGATGTAGTAACAAATACTCTTTTTTTATATTTCATGGTTTTGGCAAGTACCTTGTAAATACAATGGTACATAGTAATGATTCAGTACCTTATGATCTGTAATTTTAGTGGAAACTGATGTTACCTTGATAAATGTTTGTGAGGAAAGTCATTACGTTTTGGTGCACCTAGGTATAGGAATATTTTCATTTATTACAATGCTGGTGTTTATTTTCTGCGCTTTGTTCGATTTGCCTTTTTGAAACAACATGAAAAGAACATTAAAGAGACATAAAACTTTTATTGAACATTATTTAGACAAAGTACGAATTTAGATTTTACAAATGCCCCGTAACATCATTAAAGCACACTAACAAACCACAATCTTTTTGTCACATAGCATTGCGTCTGATTGGTTACTGTAGACTTAAAGAAGCTCCACATAATTAGCAGGAAACATTCCGTTGAGCCCATCAGGACTGTAGCCCCTCCACCAGCCCTCATCGATCATCTCGATCCCTGTGATGATATCATCCGGGTCAAAGGAGATCTCGGTGTCATCCACTAAATGGGAAGAAAATATAATGCATAAATTGATACGTTTTCAACACCATATCTTCATTGATCATAAGAGAGTATGGAATATTCTCAAGTTCTAAATGTACAAAAATATCGTAAATCGCCACTTACACTAAATTAAATCAAATCAGAATCATTCTCGCGGTTTGGTGAATCACTAGGTTTTTTGTTTTGTTATTGACGTTTTAACCAGGCTATTGTATATTTCATGCCTCTCTCTCTCTCTCTCTCTCTCTTCCTTATAATTTTTATTATCATCAGAGCAATAGCTCCAGATATTACAGCTCATTGCAGAGATCAAGACTTTACTGCATATTGATCATTTATTGCATGAATTTTTAGATAATACAGCAGAATTCAAGCGCTCACCAGCTTGGTAGTCATATAATGCTCTTGCACAGATGTTCTGGTTATGGCCAGTCTCATCTTCGCTAGCAGGGGTTTGGAAATCCTTCAAATAATAGGATAAATAATGGCATTTAGGTGACACAACCATTTATTATAATACAAAATATCTTAAACCCAGTTAAATCATTATGATTACTACAGAAAAGTATTCTTAAAAATGTCATAAAAGGTCACGGTTGCATGGTTTGGATGACGCATATGACAAGGTACCAACCTGGCTAACTTCATCATAGAGCTTTTGATGTGAGGGGACGTTCATATAGATGCTGTTTACATCTTCATTTTTTTGGTTCCCGGCAGCGGCGCTCAATTCTTCCTCATCTGAATCTGGACCAGGATACACAGTAAATCAGATTTCAGGCATAAATATGGCACTGACTGACGTTAATAAGCATTATTGAGAGAAAATATACCATCCCATTCATCTTCTGTTCCCTCAGCTTGTTCAGATACAAATGGATCATCGGAGAAGGGGTCTTAAAGGCAAAAATAAGGCAACTTATAACTTACTGTAATATGATTTTAAACCAGAGACACATAATGGATTCTTGCTTTTATTCACCTGCATTTTTTCCAAGGAAAGCCGGTGTTTCGCGCACAGGAGAGATGGGAGCTGGTACATGTGAAACCGAGGTGGCTGCCGCGGGGCGAACTGGAGATAAGGGCTGAGACTTGCTCTCACTGCGAGGGTTTTCTGCACTGACTGCTGACTGGGACAAAAATGGGCTTCTCAACTGACCTGAGGGGAAAATACATAAGTAATGAAATAATATTGAGATTAATGGCTTGAAACTGTGCATGTTTTATAAATGAGATTTTGTCGGATGTTCTGTGTGATGAACTGTTAGATAAGAGTTTTTTGTACCTGGTCGAGAAGGTGAAGCACTGTCGACCAAGCTTCTCTCCGTCTTCATGAACAGCTCCCTGGGATTGATGGAACGCTGAGAGATGATTGACGCCGCCTCCTGGAAAAAAGGTAGAACGAATATGCTATTTTTATGTCTACTATGACCTTACTTTCTTACTGGTCTTACTTTATCTTCAACATATAATAGAAGAAAATATTAGAATTCCAGAAGTAAAATCCCATTCATTTTCTCCTTAAAAAACTTTTTTCAGAAATTAATACTTTTATTCAGCAAGAATGCATTAAATTGATCAAAAGTGACATTAAAGATATTAATACTGTTACAAAAGATTTCTATTTAATCTAATATCTAAATAAATGCTGTTTAAAAAACAACAACTTTCTATTCATTAAAAAATCCTGAGAAACAATGCATCACAGTTTGCACAAAAATATTCAACATTGATAATAATAAGAAATTATTGAGCAGCAAATCAGCATAAGAATGATTTCTGAAGGATCATGTGACACTGAAGACTGGAGAAATGATGCTGAAAATTCAGCTTCGATCACAAGAATAAGTTACATTTTAATATACAGTATATAAATAGAAAACCAACATTTTAAACTGTAATAAGAATTTACAATATTGCTGTTTTTTTTACTGTATTTTGATTAAATAAATGCCTAAAATATACTGTTTTTGTGGTTATAACCAGTTACAAGAAGTCAACCTTTTATATTTATATTTATATTATACTATTGTTTTATTTTTTATTACATCTTTCCCAATGCTTCGTTGGAAGTGTAGTTCATTTGATCAGATGATTTTCACATACTTTTTGCTTCGAGCAAGTGATTCATCTAGGAGGATTTGTAAATGACTTAGAACTCTTTACTAAAAATCTTTTGAAATCTCTATGGAGAAAATCAATAAGAAATAGTCTTCAAGGTCCAAGGACACTCGTTGTGGGCGCTCTCTGTTGTGCTGTATTTATTTAGACTCACATTGGCCTTCTGCACAGACTCAGATCGCAATATCCCTGCTTTCACAGGAGACTGGTGTTCCTTCTCCACTTTCTCCTTAACAACAAGTGAGGCAATCAAGAGTGACTAACATTTTATTATATATACAGTGTACACACACACACACAGATATACACTCACCGGCCACTTTATTAGGTACCCCATGCTAGTAACGGGTTGGACCCCCTTTTGCCTTCAGAACTGCCTCAATTCTTCGTGGCATAGATTCAACAAGGTGCTGGAAGCATTCCTCAGGGAGTTTGGTCCATATTGACATGATGGCATCACACAGTTGCCGCAGATTTGTCGGCTGCACATCCATGATGCGAATCTCCCGTTCCACCACATCCCAAAGATGCTCTATTGGGTTGAGATCTGGTGACTGTGGAGGCCATTTTAGTACAGTGAACTCATTGTCATGTTCAAGAAACCAATTTGAAATGATTAGAGCTTTGTGACATGGTGGAAGTAGCCATCAGAGGATGGGTACATGGTGGCCATAAAGGGATGGACATGGTCAGAAACAATGCTCAGGTAGGCCGTGGCATTTAAACGATGCCCAATTGGCACTAAGGGGCCTAAAGTGTGCCAGGAAAACATCCCCCACACCATTACACCACCACCACCAGCCTGCACAGTGGTAACAAGGCATGATGGTTCCATGTTCTCATTCTGTTTACGCCAAATTCTGACTCTAACATCTGAATGTCTCAGCAGAAATCGAGACTCATCAGACCAGGCAACATTTTTCCAGTCTTCAACTGTTCAATTTTGGTGAGCTCTTGCAAATTGTAGCCTCTTTTTCCTATTTGTAGTGGAGATGAGTGGTACCCGGTGGAGTCTTCTGCTGTTGTAGCCCATCCGCCTCAAGGTTGTGCGTGTTGTGGCTTCACAAATGCTTTGCTGCATACCTCGGTTGTAACGAGTGGTTATTTCAGTCACTGTTGCCCTTCTATCAGCTCGAACCAGTCTGGCCATTCTCCTCTGACCTCTGGCATCAACAAGGCATTTCCGCCCACAGAACTGCCGCTCACTGGATGTTTTTTCTTTTTCGGACCATTCTCTGTAAACCCTAGAGATGGTTGTGCGTGAAAATCCCAGTAGATTAGCAGTTTCTGAAATACTCAGACCAGCCCTTCTGGCACCAACAATCATGCCACGTTCAAAGTCACTCAAATCAACTTTCTTCCCCATACTGATGCTCGGTTTGAACTGCAGGAGATTGTCTTGACCATGTCTACATGCCTAAATGCACTGAGTTGCCGCCATGTGATTGGCTGCTTAGAAATTAAGTGTTAACGAGCAGTTGGACAGGTGTACCTAATAAAGTGGCTGGTGAGTGTATATATATATATATGATTTTAAAATGTTCAGATTTATTGCAGGAAAGATCATTTTACCCATTTTCCTTGCTCCTGTTCTTTATTTGCTGCCTCCTGTTTCTTTTCATACAGCCTGTGAGACACCAAGTAGGTAGTTATTTACTTATTCACTCTCATTCATATCCACAAACAGTGATTGACTGTCTAACAACTCTGAATTCAATGACGTCAAGGCTGTAATGTGATTGGCTATCAAGGCACACATGATCCAAGTTAGCTTTCTCCAATAGTAGAGCCACGGACCCTCGGATCTCCCAAATAATAAGACCATTGCTGCGTCCCAATTCGCCTACTTATACTACGCCCTAAAAGTATGTACTCTTTTTGTGAAGAAAAAGTACATACTTTTGAGTGTGTAGCAAAAGAGTAGGCAAGCTTTGGGACATACTACTTCGTCATCTTTAACGGACAGATCTGTCGCGTGCATCCTGTCACCGTAAACTGCCCTGTCAATCATCTCGTCACAGTTAAAATCCTCCA